CAACTTTCTGAATTCCTGGCCTCGGGGTGGCATGTCCTTGTTGACACAGAGGAAACTGCGTTAATGATTGATCAGGCTCAGCAGCAGGGATGCTGCTTGATAGTCGTGTCCTCAGCAAACTCTTCTGTCTCCTGTCATAACCATAAAGACTGGCAAAATGACAGGCCCAGGCTGTGGGGCCATAGGTCGTGTGTATCTGTAGATTAAACACAAACATTTATTTACTCTTCTCATATGATTAAGTCTGACTTATCAGCCAGATACAGACAAATATACGACATCTCTTACAACCCTTCGTGCTTGTGTGGAATATCGTGTTTGCAGTTCATTCAACGATAGGTACTGATTTTTATTTTGAAGTAACAGGCTCTGTGCAGAGGACAATTACATCTGACACGTGCCATGTTCTTCCTTTTCAGCTGGATCCTGCTGCCAGTCAGCTGAACTCCAACGATGCCTTCGTCCTGAAAACTCCCTCTGCTGCTTACCTTTGGGTTGGCCAAGGAGCCAGCGATGCTGAGAAATCAGGAGCACAAGAGCTGCTGAAGATACTGGGAGCTCGCCCAGTGCAGGTTTCTGAGGGCAGAGAGCCAGGTGAGGGAGGGACAGTGGAGTCTGAGATCATTCCTGTGTAGCTGCACACTCTGTTAATTATTTAATGGATATTTTATTGTCTCCCAGAGAAAGGAAATGTGGACATAGGCACAGAGGGGCTTCTCCAAAGTATCTTCATTATAACAGTGCACTCGTGTTTGCAGGCCCTTGGGACTTTCTGATATAGAAAAGTGTTTCAGGTCCTACCCAAACCATCTGGCTACCGTGGTTTCCATGAACAGTAGAAGCATCAGGATCTCTTTCTCTCTTGCAGATAATTTCTGGGCAGCTTTGGGAGGAAAAGCTCCTTACCGTACCTCTCCCCGGCTGAAGGACAAGAAGATGGATGCTCACCCCCCTCGTCTCTTTGCGTGTTCCAACAAGAGCGGACGCTTCATTGTGAGTATCTAAGACGAAAGTCAATTAATTCAGCATCTGTCTGACAAAGCTGGGAGAAACTTGGTCCCAGTCTGCTCGGAGCCAGCCAACAGGCTGTTACACCTCATCTTCCTCCGAGGACTTGCCTCGGCACCAGTTTTCTGTGGAGACAGCAGCTGGTTCTGTTCCGCTGTTGTGTCAGCACAGCAGCTTTCTGAAATCAGACTGCTCCTGCCCTGATTAGCAGCTGCCATTCAGACTCCGCAGATTTTAACTCGTGGATCTTTCAGGTAAAAGGGGCAGCGTTACAAGTCTTGGGCATGAGTGAAAGACACTGTCTCTGGGTAGACAAGAGGCTGATTTTGTGTTCTGTGATCTAGCAACACCTCTGTGACACAGCTCGAGTTGCACGGTCAGATACTGTGCCCCTGTCCAGCTTAATGCATCTCACTGACCAGAGCTGAAACTTAAGAACCTCTGTGAACTGGATTTCTCCTGTGAAGAAGGTGCAATGGTGCTTGAAGCACATGCTCATCCTCACCTTCTGTTCTGCAGATTGAAGAAGTTCCTGGAGATCTGACTCAGGATGACCTGGCTACAGATGATGTTATGCTCCTTGACACGTGGGATCAGGTATGGCACATCTACCTGGTGACAAGGGGAGCAGAGAGGCACAAATTGGCTCTAGATTGAGACCCAAATTACAACAGCTGGAAGAGCTGTTGTATGAAATGAGTCCTGTCATCTTCAGGCCTGAGAACAAATCACTTTGTTAGTGACACTGAAGAGAACTTACATCCAGAACTTGAGAGTTAGTGCCCTGCCACTGCTTTGGTTAGCTAAAGGGCTGCAGAAAACAGGCTGTCGTGTATCACACGTACTCCCCAGTCTGGAAACTCCTCGAGGGCAGCACCCTCGTCCCACCTGGAGAGGACTGGGAACCAGGGGTAGGGTTCAGTGGTTTAAGACACCAACACATTTTCTGTTGTTTTTCAATAACAGACTGTGTGTAAAGCAACCAAAACCCAATTTACAGATGGAATTTCTTGTTTTATGTGAAAATGTTCAAATACCTGCTGGTGTTTCCTGATGTTAAGCTAGTGTAGAATTTGTTCATGTATCTAGAATTCATGCAGATGAAATGCAGTCAGAAAACTTCTCAGTATCTACCAAGAGCTTTAGTCGCAGAGTTCAACAGTCCAGGCACACCAACACCAGGACGTCCTCGTTCTGTGTCACTCTTCACCAAGACTCTGTCTAAGTGCTCCTTCCTTTCATCATGAGATCGAGTGTTGCTGAAATAATTCATGGGTTTTTTTATCTTTAGGTCTTTGTGTGGATTGGGAAAGACGCCCAAGAAGAAGAAAAGACTGAGGCACTGAAATCTGGTAATGTCCCATGTTCCTCTCCAAACTAACCATTTTTGATGTTCCCGCTATCTGGTCATAAGGCAGGTGATTTAATATACTGAGAAACCTGTTCTCATCACAATGTTAAATTCAGTGTTGTGACCAAAGAGATCACATCTCTTGGGAAAGGAGGATCCCTGAGATCAGTGTGCAGTGCCCCTGTGTGGGTAAGTGGGTGCAGGCTGCCACTGGGTTACAGCGTTTTACATCCTAATGTCAGTTTTCTGCAAACCTGTCCATCTCCTACCGGGTGTAGATAAAATCAGAGTGAAAACTTTGTTTGTTTGTTTCAAATGAACAATGTGAACTTGTACCTCTAGCATCCATTTAGCTACAATTAAGCTGTAGCAGCTGGTGCTCCATGAGCTTTCCCTCTGCTCGTGTGCTTTCAGCCAAGCGGTACATTGAAACCGACCCGGCCAGCCGAGATAAGAGGACTCCGGTCACAGTCATCAAGCAAGGGTTTGAGCCACCAACCTTCTCCGGCTGGTTCCTGGGCTGGGACGACGACTACTGGTCTGTGGATCCTCTACAGAGAGCGATGGCAGACGTGGATGTCTAAGTAACACGTTTTCTTTTTTTAAATGGAGCAAGTTTAGTGCCTTCAATGCCTTCAAAAGCTACTTCCTCCAGCAGGATGCACGTTAACAAGGCAGTGATGTTAATAGCCAATTAGCTGTGCAATAATTACCGAAAACAATCATGACCAGTCATTGACCCTACTCCTTGCTTTGATTATATTTAATACAATAAAGCTTGTATGAAATACGTGAAGAATAGAAGTGGTGGGGTTTGTTACACAGAAAATATGAAACAGAACCTGTAGATCCCACGTTTGAACTTACTTGAAACAAATACACCTGAGGAAATTAAACCTTCTTTGTGCCAGTTTTTGCACACATGGTTTTACTAAATGGCTACAGAAATGACTTGTGAGGTTTTGGGCTTGTTTTGCTTTCCCCTCACCAGAACCATTAAGACCCCAATAAATTAACAGGACTCTACTCTTTCAGAAAGTCACTCATTAGTAAACAGCATGTGTTTTTATTCAGGATGAGAGCAAAAAGCATGTTCCTGGTGTCAACAGGAATTCCCGGGGGCAGCCATCCGCAGCAGCAACAGTGGGAGTTACAGACTCGCTCCTCTTCCCCAAGGACCAACTGCAAGCTGTGCCATTGCATGAGCACAGCAATGCTAATTATCACAGCTTCATTAACCCTATTTCTCCCAGCAACAAGTCAAGCTCAACTTACATCAAAAGTCCAGAAGCAGACACAGATGCATAGATTGCTTTTATGATACAGAGGAATAGAAAAAGTTCACAGCAAACAGGCAGAAAAGCAGCAGCATCGATGAGCTCAAGCCCTACCAGCGCCAGGGCACCTCTCCCTAACGGTGACAAAGGCACAGTGTATGGAGGCACAGGTACACACAGCTCACCTGTACTAAAACACCTGCAAATACAGAACTGATGGTAGCAGAAAGGTGAGGAAAGACAAGTTAGGAACTTTACGTGGGCCAGTGTGAGAAGGGCACTTGTATCGCTCATCTTGGCTTTTCCTTTTCATCACCACCTCCTACTAATTCCAGACCCATGCCAAAGCTGGTGATGGTGGCAACCTGAAGAGCCTCCTCCTGTGCAGGCTCTGATTCTTCTCATTTTCACCTGTAATTACAGCTACTAAACAGGTACAAAATATGAATACAGTTTAACAAACTTACAGTGAAGATTACAGGTGTTTGGAACCGAGTGTAAGCCCTTAGTCTCACAACACATACTCCAGGGCATCCACAGGTGAAGCACTAATTTGCTAACCAGATCTAGCAACAGTACAACATCTGTTCAACATCACCACCCCCGCTAATTACAGAGACCTTCCTTCCTCCAGAAGCAGGTTTTAGACCTGGATAAAACGCAGGAGTCAGTACTTTGGTTTTTTAAATCCTTTTCAGGAGAGACAGATGGAGGCAGACTCAAGAACGTTTCAGTGCTTTAAAGAAGCGCAGATCTAGAACAGGCACATCACGCCCAGCAAGGGGACTGTATCCATAACTACGGCATGTTTGTGCCACTGGTGTGTGTGGCAGGACAGAGGTGGGAAGTTCCACGTCAGGAACGTTGGCTAACAACTGTTTCTCATGAACAGGGAACTGCTTTAGGGAGCATGAGCCTGATTCTCAGAAGCACCCAGTACAGTATTCTCACTCCGTATCAACTCCCATTACTTTTCCTTGTGTAAACTAGAGAACCAGTCCCCGTGACAACAATCAGGTGACTTCATCACCTATAGCTACACTCCGAGAGAATATAGTCAGGGCTCTTCCCTTGCAGAGCTACAGATCCAATGATTAAAAGGAGTATTTCTCTTTCCACATGTTGGATCATCTCTTCACCACAGATGGTTGTATATACTATTGGAAAAGAGGAGGTTATAGATTAAAGGTGTCCCATCCACGACAGTACAGATACACACTTACTTCAGATCACAATCTGCTTGTACTCATCTTGAGAGGTTTTAGATTTGAAATATGTTGATTTTCCATATTCACAAATATTACATGTAAAGGTTTGTAACACACAGCATAAGAAAAGAGGTTCCTCAGCAAATCCACTTTACCACCATAAGCTATAATACACAGGAATTCAGTGCTGCAAACATTTGCTGGAGCACAAACCCACACCCCGAGCTCTCTCCTCCCACTCTCCCTAGCGATTTGCACCCACGATGCCCTGCAGCATGTTTATGGGCAATGGGAAGACGATGGTGGAGTTCTTTTCTGCAGCAATGGTGGTCAAGGTCTGCAAGTAACGAAGCTGAAGAGCAGCTGGGGACTCGGTAATAACCATGGATGCCTCTTTCAGGGCCCTGGAAGCATTCATTTCACCCTCAGCTGCAATGACCTGGGGAAGCAAAATGAAAGAAATTGAGTTCATTGTGGCACAGTAATAAACTAGAAATCTGCAGGATGATTTCAGCCTTAAGTACATGACTCAAAGTGCTCATCACTTGGATTGACTGACCTCCCCTTACCATGGTCTGTCACCAGTTCTGCCTTTTCTCTGGCTCAGACACCAGCTGCTCCCCTCTCCCCTCAAGGCCCGTACGCCTGTTTTCCTCCTGCTCCACATCAGGATGCCAGATCACCAAAGCTGGCACCGTGTCTTCAAAAAGCAATGGCTGCACTTGTTCAATCTGTAAACGCTTCTTTGGTGCTTCTTGCAGCACTGCCCCTCAAAAGCAGAAGGCACTCCCCATATATATGGAAAATACTTTTTACTGAAAGCTGTTATTTTTTTTGTCTCCACAAGGGCTTGGCAGAGGAATGGCATGTTTCTTACTGGGGAAATACCTTTTTATTCCCTCAGTCTTTTTAATGATGAGCTCATTAGGGCCACATTTGTGGTCATATGTGTCTCTACAAGCAGGGTTCTCATGCACTGGGACAACAGAAATATTTTCTGGGTACTGGTAAAGGACAGCTGGCACTGTTCTAACAGGTGAGTTACTGGTGAGGTAATGCACGTGCGTGTCAGCACAGACAAGTGTACCTTCCCTTACAGAGTTCTACTGCAAGGGCAGAATATAATATTAAACTTAAGAATAAATGATTAAAAAATAATCATAAAGTAATTAAGCTCAGAAAAAAAAATGTAGAAGTTAGTACTTGGACTACTAATGTAGGCTTAAAAACTTTTCCTAGGTGAACCATCAGCTTCCCATTCAGTAATTGCTAGCCTGGCAGTCTATTCAAATTCAGTTTAGCATTTATTTCCCATGAAAACAAACCCCAGGATTTTTAATTAGAACCTAAACATTGGTTAAAGTTAGTGAAACTCATAATTAAGTGGCAGATATGAAAATCAGTCGTATATATACACGTATAAAAATCATTCACACGTGTGTGTCTGTGTGTGTGACAGAGATGAACATCGTAGGAGTAGATGTAACTTTCATGGCTTCACATGAACTCTACTAAACCTCCCTTTGCAAAGACAAATTTTGAGTATTTACAATGCAAGTTCCATTTTCCTACAGGCAGGCAGCTCAACAGTACCTACCAGAAACCTGTACTGTCTACCAAAACAGTGGTGGGTTTTGTTGTGGGTTTTTTGGTTTTTTTTTTTACAGCTAGGGTTTTTGTTTGTTTTTCTAAAAGACAGAGTCTATCATTGCGTCTGTGAAGGTCAAAAGGCAGGATTAATAAACCACCAGAGGAGATAAATTGCAGGGCACAGAACACTAAGGAGAAAGGTAACTCGCCTAGTTCCAGCAAAGGACAGCTCCATTTTTACTCCAAACTTCAGTATTTACTGTCACCTTCACCCACCTCAGAAGGGAATAAGATGTCACAACCAAACTGATCACAGGTCAGCTTAAGGGTGACAAAACTAACTATTAATTACAGCTGGTTTATTTCTCATATGAAGTAACAAACAGAAAACAGAGGACTTGCCTAAAAATCTGGACTAGTCGGGGAAAAGCTTGAAGTAAGTCTGGCTTCTAATCCACTGCAGACTCCAGTTAACAGCCTCAAAATTGTTCTGTTTCTGATCTGTTCTCAGAGCATGGTAAAAAATTGAGATTCTGTGTTTTTGAAGGTAACCTCACCTGCACAAACCATGATGAAACAGAGCAAGCACCCAGATACCAATCCACAAAAACCCTGCTCTGCACTCCTATGTGCTACAACACAATCTGGCTGAGAATCTTCATCCTCTACATCACCACATTAAATTATTCATGAAGAAAAAAAATATTAAATAAACCCAAACCCACGTGTTGATGTCACTACCTTAGCTCTCGCCTCCCGGGCAGCTTCTGCTTCTGCAGCCATTGCTCTCTGCAGCTGGACAGGTAATTTCACATCCTTGATCTCCACACGTTCCACCTTAATGCCCCAATCATCTGTTGCATCATCAAGTGTGGCCTGTATAAGGCAGGACAATTAAGTTAAGCCATCTACCCGGCTGCAAACAAAGTCCAAATCTGAAGAACCACCAATAAACCAAATGAGTTCTCTTACAATTCTTGGACTTTAAGGGCTTTAGTATTTATATTATGATTTGATAATTATAAAAGCATAACTGTTGTAAACTAACAAAAAAAAATTAATATATTGAAGGAATTCTGTGGCACAATTTACTTCAAGAAATGACGTACTGACATAATGACACAGGGAAGCCCTCCACTCCCGTATCCCTCATTCCCACTTGCTAGCCCCATTATTGCTTTAGTCATTTTTATTCTATAAAATGCCATCCCAGTAGCTCTTGATAGGGTTTTGCCAGAAGTTCCAAATCACATCTTGGCTTCCCACACTAAATCCTGACCGGTAAGTTATCCACAGGCTTGCTGCTTAACTGATTGTTTGCTGGACTGGTTGGGTAAAGCTGCTCGTACCTGCATGCTGTGTGCGATTTCTTCACGATCAGAGAGAATCTGAGAAAGGTTTTTGGTCCCCAGAACATTCCTCAAAGTCGTCTGTGCTAGAAGGCGGGTGGCTGAGTCAGCATTTGTGATATTTGCCACCGCGAGGGTGGCATTCTGAACTCTGTAATAAACCACTCCGTCTACATTCACCGTCACAGAGTCCTTGGTCAAGATCTAAAAAGCAATGGGGAAAGCATATAATATTCAACAGATATATGGTTAATTATTATGAGAATGACATATGTTTCACTAGATAAACTCCTAGTTTTTCCAGGGTAAAGCAACTGTCTTGAAAACAAAAGGTTTCTCTGCAAGAGATACGTGTAATGAAGGAGTGAGGTCACAGGAAAGGCTCCAGGAACATCAGCACTCCAAGCTGTTTTGTTTTAATGCAGAGATGGGAATATGAACTACATTCAGAATGGGTTAGAGCACTCCAGCTAAGAGCACGTACTGGAGCATTTATGAGAGGAGCACTGGATATTTCTGTACAAAGAAGAAAGGTTAATAATGCGTATCATCGCAAATATATGTTCACTTGTGTTCAACTTCAGTCTCAAGACCACTGATTTTGCAAGACATAAGTGTGCAAGTGTGGCAGTTTATAAAAGAAGGGCAAAGCAGGCAGCCTATTTAAAAAGCAAGCGAGGGAAGAGGGAGTGTGTTTCAGCTGCACTCCCAAAGACACATCACAAATGAGTTTCCCACCCTGCAGGTGTGCCTGAGCTGAGGGCAGATCTCAGTTACTCTTACTCCCTCACACAGGAACGCCAGCGCTAAAGATCTAGCGCAGCAGTGGCTGTGTAAATCACTTTGGAGAAATGCAGAAACCTTGTGAAAAAGCCTGTCAGTGTATAATGAACCTTAGAGCAACGGAGAGCCGTGCCCAGGAGGTATTTCAGAAGAGACTGGAAGGTTTCACTGAAGTGTGTCTAGCTCCTTACAAAATTGGTTTTGCCCATCCCAGCAGCCTGATGTATTTCAGCTCCATGGGTGTTAGCCTTACTTCAACATTTAATTAGAAATATCTCTGTTATTATCTAGCAGTTCATTGTCCTTCGTGGAGGTACTTGGTGGCTGAAATGCCACCCTGTGCTACTAAATGAGTACGTGGTGATTTCTAGACAAGTTGCAGATGAAATCCAATTTGTGAACATCCTCAGAGCTACATTCAAGTGATTTACTGACTGTACGTTAAGCAAAAGATGTACTTGCAAAGATAAAGACATATTCTTGAAGGTTTAGAAGATGGTACAGCAGAAAAAAAGAATTAATATTAATTATATTTTAAATTTAAGTTAAAAATAGATTGAAATATATCACGACAATGAGAGGAGGTGTCCTAATTCCGTGTTCGATTATGTTATTTGACAAGAGGGACGTGTGAGCTACTGAACCTTCCAGACTTACCTGCTAAGTTCTTCCCCAAACTACCTATTTTAGCAGACTTTTCATAACAAAAGAACAAGTAGCATGCACAGAAACCATGTTCTACAAATAAAAATGTAGTTCTGCTTTAACCTACGGAACATAAACAAACCTAAATCCATAGGCATAATTTAATCAAGCCAACAGAAAGACGGTGGAATGGATGGCTTCGCTAATGCCCGGCAGCAGCTGCAGCCACATTTTGCCTGCCAGTGATTAGGTTTCTACCAATTACCCTCTAGAGTGTTCCATGGCAGCTGCCATTTGTCTAAATCTACAATTAATGATGAGCAATAAACCAACTAGCAAATATGACAGGAAACAGATGCACCCAACAGGCTGCATCAAGCATTTTTGCCTTGCAAAATACACCAGATACATAAGGGATACAGTTCTAATCATCAACATACAATTGTTCACTGACTTATTTTTAGAGGCCTAGTTGTTTTTTATTCATTTGTTATCCACTGAGTTCACATCACTGAGTTCAGCTACCTTAATGCAGTGGAGAGATTCCGCTAAAAAAATTAAGATGTCCACAGAAAAAACAGATTAGAAATAAAAGGGGTTTTATGGGTTTTTTTAGGACCTTCAAACTGAAAGACATCAGATGACAATGGGTGTGGTACACCCTCATAATGCTCCTGTGCACAGCAGGACACGGAAGCAACGTGTACACAAAACCCACACAAGGGACTGGACCCTTACCCTGGGTTGCTATTTGATGTATATAATTTGATGTATATTTGATGTATATATTTAATTATTTTAGCTAGCTTATACATCTAGAGAAGTTGCCATAGGAAAGATCACTGTTGCTTCTGGAAATCTTCCAGATTTCCATGAAGTCCAGCAGTCTTCATGCCAAACCCCGCCCGTTCCAGCTCTTAGGCAGTATTAAGTTATCTTATTTGTTCCTTAAAGGACAGCATAATTTGTTTTCTTTCAGGGATCTTCTCTTATTAAATAATAAGTACTAAAGGATAAATGTCTTCTTCACAATACATTGAACCTGCACAAGAGATTACATGAAAACTACATGCTACCCAATACTGAGAGAGGGAAAGGAAAAAGAAAGCGCAAAAAATTCTTCAAACACTTTAGCAGATACAAAGGCAAGTGCAAACTCACCTCCTGGGGAGGAATATCAAAAGAGATGGTCCTCATATCAACTTTGATGAAGCTGTCTGTGCAGGGCAGGATAAAAAACAAACCTGTAGAAAAAAATCCAAGATGATGTGAAAATGGGTCATTAAAACAGATGAAACTTGCCACTGAAATAAGCTCAAATCCAGCCACTGTGGCTGTACAGCCCTTTCCATAAGGAGCTCAGCAGAATGTTTGTCAGTGGCTTTCAAACCAGGAGAAGATTTGCAAAAAAGTATCCTGAGAAACTTCAACTTACTCAGGTCTAACTTGTTTAGAGATCTTCAACATTTGGGAAAAAACCCAGAACTGGTAATGGCTACTTCTGAATATTTGTCTCAGTAGTTACTTGTGGGGCCTAATTCTGGCAAGCAGAAACTATCAACCTCCTTTTATTCTGCTGGATCACGGCAATTCTTCAGCTCTACAGCTGTGTGGAAGGATTGCAAAACCTGGATGAAAATGAAGAAGCTACTGCCTCTTTCTGTCACTTTGAGCCACAGGAGCAACAGCTGAAAGTAACATTCTTTCAGATCTCTTCAGAATTTCTAACACACACAGGAAACCTTTCAAAACTACCAAATAATAATTGCTTCTGTTTCTTTTGAATAACATCAAGGCTTTCAGACCATTGGGGTTTTAACTGACACACTAAATTTCTTTCTTTTTTTAAATGGCACATTTGATGCCATTATTGCTGCCTTTACACTCTGTGCTTTTGATTCTACCTGAAGACCATGAATTAACGAAGAAGATCTGGGTGAGGCTCACAGATCATTAGTTTACTGTCTTCTCCATATAAAGTAACATATCCTCTTACTGGAAGTTACAAAATTGTTGAGAAATCCATTTGCCAGTGGAACGCAATGTCTCCAGGCAGCAATCATTTTGCTGATGACTTAATTAGAATAAATATGAAGAAAGCTCTCCAGGACATACCTGGTCCCTTTGCTCCCCCTTTTAGGATGCGTCCAAGTCGAAATATGATGGCTCGCTCATATTCCTTTATAATCTGTGATAAACAGTTGGATGTCACACAGTTCAAGAAAGAATACAGTTAGATAAATTTGTGTTTTAAACAAATAAATAAAACAGAACAATAATAACCACTGGAGTTTTAATCCAGCTTCGCAGTGAACAATTTTACCTTTACGCACATCCAGATGGATATAGGAAAAGTAATAATAGTGAAAAACAGTGAAGTGATCACCAGGATCCATCCACACAAACCAAGGTCGGTATCAGTGTCATCTGCAAGAAAAGAGCAGAAATTTTCAGGTTTTTAAAACCAAGAGTGCCTGTTAAAGAAAGTGCCTACAATGGGATATTTACATTGAATATTTACATTGAAATAAGCCACTGTTAGCACTACTCCTTTGGCCAAACTCATTAGGTTTAGATCAGAAATCAAATTAAAAGCCAAATTTTGCTTTCATTTTCACTAGTCTCTAGAAGTTGCACATTCTGAGGGCGGAATGTGGTCCAAGTAACATCTATGCAGAATTAAGTATGCTAACACTTAAGCACAGATGACTCTCGGGTGCCTCTCTCCTCCCCAGTTTTCTCTAACGGAATGGCCAACAGGCAGCAGTAGAAATCTTGTTCTTTTATTGTCTAAGGAAGTCAGAGCAACACTTGCTTAGTGAGTGAAATGCAAATACCCCATGGCTTAGCAGGACGTTTAGAATTTGCATTAGAATTTGTGCTGTGTTCCAGCTGTCAGAGGAGCAGATCTGAGAAAACCACCATTCTCAGAACTGGTGTAAATAGAAAGTAGGGTAAGATGCAGTTGCAAGATCAGCCAGGCATGAAATACACTCTCCATAAAGCATTTCTTGGTCAAAGTCTCCTGATGTTTAGAAAACAAACGTGACATTTCTCTGTCATGAAATGACACCAACTGAAGGTATTTCCAGAACCAGCAAGTAACAAGAGCGAGTGGTTTCAAATACTACACGGCTAAAAAAAGCAACGCAGCGTGGCAGGACGCGGACGTGCTGGGAAGCATTCCCAGAGCTATAGGAAGTTCTTTACGCTGCCAGCAAAGACTCCCAGCAGCCCACTGCCAAGCAGGGATATCCCAGGGTGAAAACAAGCACTCACAACCAGCACAGTCCTACTGTGGAGACATTGAAATTCACCTTCCTCGCTCCAGCCTTGACAAAGCCAAAGGTAGGAAATGCCAAGAAGCATCCACAAAGCTCAGAAAAACCCAATTCTCACATTGACATGAGAGAATGTTGCTTCAGGACCACACGTCCCGACTTTGCTGAACTGCAAACACCCCTGAAGGGCTGCAAATATGCAAATATTACCCTGACTTGATCAAGGCCACAAACACTGAAAAGGACTGGAGTCTTATCTAACGGACTGCACTCAGCAGCTGACTTAGAAAGAAACTGCATTAAAGAATCTGTAAGTTTTAGCTTAGTTCTACTTGGAATCATATAATGAATTGTTTTCTGTATTCAGCAAACACAACTACAACTGAATTTGTACAACAAAACTGGCCAGTTGTAGGTCTCTCTCCGTCTCTCTTTTATTTCATAACTTTCATAAACCCAAAGCAGCTGAGGATCTTGCTTCAGTTCTGCTCTACAGTTGAACATCAAGGTCTTCACCACCAACCACCTACAGCTCTTACGGGAACTACCACCAGAAGGTGGAAGTCACAACTCAAATCATGTAACGTTTCAAGATTGACTAAGCACACACTTTATGTAGCAACGAGGATTGTCCCATCATGTGGGATATTTCACAATACAAAAAGTGAGAGAAATGCTGTCTGGTGAAAAACTATACGAAGTACCAGAAACACGCTTGGCATCTGTGGAATGAGCTCTCTTACTGCAATTCTTTAACATCTCATTCGTGGGACTTGGATAACTTCACCAACAGGCCGTTCTTGCCAGATTTCTCAGTCAGGCTCATTGATTCTGGGTTCTAAACAGCAGGAAGGTCAAGAGCACTGAAATGAGACTGACAGAGGTGGTGCAGGTGTGACACGCAGCCTCGGTGACACCTCTCACAGATGAGGCACATCCCTGCCCACCCAACACCCTGAAAATAAAAGATTTGACACCACACTGAGTGCTGGCTACAGCATACCACCTCACAGCCCTCCTTCACCACCTCACAGCCCTCCTTCACCACCTCACAGCCCTCCTTCACCACCTCACAGCCCTCCTTCACCCATCACATACGCGAACCTTTTCACAGAGACAAAACATATCCTTGTTTTTGACAGGCAGTGTCAAAGAACAGCTCCAAGAGAGATTCTTTTCACTAAGTCCCCACAAAAGAACTAGAGAACTACTGAAAACAGACTTCCAGCATATTTTGTGATCCACAGGTAAAGCAAGAATAAAAAGTTTGTCTTTTATTTCTCAGGTGTATCTGTAGCATTCAAGATTAGCCACCAGAGTAAGAAATAAGGCAAAATTCTTTGGTAGTGAGGGTTCTGCCGGCGAACTCTACAGAACTGGGGTTTGCTTCTCCCAAAGCCAGACTCTGATTATGATTATTATATATAATGGTATTTCTCTCTGATTATTATATATAATGGTATTTCTGATACCATTACATAACCCAGCTGCAAAGGAGAATACCAAGATATTAAAAAAACACGCTTGGAATTTAATCAGAGGAATCTCATTCGCAGACAGCCTGCAATAGATTGCCTACTTCTTTAAGAAATAAACCACAAGGAGAAAGAATATTTTAAAATATGTTAATCGAACCACTTTTCAATCCCTTTAAGGCTGACTGGAACAGTTACTGTTACTTTAGCAAGAAATTATCACTTGGATCATCAAACAATTATTAACAATTTATAATAAACACTTAGTGCTGGAGGCTGAAATGGCAGGGGCAGTTCTCATCACCGCCTGACGTGTGGCACACGCTTCACTGGCGATTTCTTTTCTCCTGCAAAGGCTACACAGTCTGAACAACCACATCACTGCCAAACAGCAAAAACGTGCCAGACTCCACGGTACCATGAGAGGAAGGGACCTTCCCCAACAACGGGGAAAACAGCTCCCCAGACTTAAAACAAAATGCAGATAGGAGATCAGCTGGACCGAATACAAGGCAAGCAATGCTAGATAGAGATCTCCGCTCTCACGCTGCTCGGTCAGATCCAGGATAGTCCAGGAATGACTGAAGGGTGTTATTCTGTGACAGTTACTCAGCTGTTTGCTAATTAGCAAACAACCAGGAATAATAAGGAATACTAATTTCAATGAGAACTAAATGTCTTTTCAGATGCTTCTCAAAGCATTTCACATGGGAAACAGCCAAAATTATTACATCTAATTAATAATCAAAATTATGTCTAATGCCATTTACTCCGTAGATACTTAATTATGACAAAAATAACCGGTAGTCAGCTATAGCCTCCAAAACAACACATCACACAGTAACTGCAGGAGAAGCAACCTCAGCAGCACGTAAAGCAAAAGGCTCACCGAGTTCCAGGCAAGGTCAGCATCAGAGTGGCCACTGCTGGGTATTAATAACTGACATACTCACAGAATGAAATGCAGATACAGGAACCAGCATATGCCATTAGGCACGGGGCCCAAATACATCTACAGTTCTTTATACAACAACTCAGATTACCTAGCCAAAGCCTTCGTATGTAAAGCAATCTTATAAATACATTTCCTTCTCCACTTGCAAATGAAAAACCTGTAAAATAAATACTGACATTTCTGCAGTCTGTTTGTGAGCAATGCAGGTAACAGCTCCCAGGGACTGAACCTGACACTTGTGTTATTTCAGTGCATCATCTCCGAAACTTCCTGGCTGGGTTACACTCACACCTACTAACTGAGAGGCCAAAACCCACGAGAATAACGATATCAAGAAGCTTTATTGCCCAACTTGAGGAAACATAACTGACCTTTATCACTTCCTCCATCACACCTATGGAACAGGTGAAAGTGCCAGCGCTGTGAACAACCAGTTTGTTCTCATTTACTGGTGCAGCACCTCGGGGATTACTGCTGTTGACTCTCTTCTTAATTATCTGTTTAGTTTTCCTCTTAGTGACCCGAGTTCCCGTACAGGAAAACGAACCACACACACACACAAAAACCCGGAGTTACGCAACTGGGGCAGGTCCCAGCGATGCTCTGTTACCTGCCCGCCCGCTATCCCTGGGGAGCCGGGAAACGCCGGACCGCGGCACCGCACCGGGCACGGCCGGGGAACCGGCGGGGGG